GATAATTACATTAATTATTATAATAATATATATATTATAATATATATAATATATATATTATATAGATAGATATAGATATATTATATTATATATTATAATATTAAATAATTATATAATATATAATTATTATAATATATTATATATTATTATAATTATATTATATATGTAATTATACATATAGAGAGAGATATATTGAATAAATAACTCGCAAAATAATACAACAATCACAAATTCGTAATAATATAATTTCAATGAAAAGTTCAAGTTCAGATTAAAAAAGTTAAAAGACGAGAGTTTTCTACTTTGCTTTTTGGAATTCCAAATGGATAAAATTCATAGCAAAATTTAGAAAATATAATTCAACCACTGTAAAGTAAACTAAACCCTTTAACGTCAAAGAAAAGAAAATTCAATGCATCTCGTCCAATTTCAAAGAAATCATCGTCTCTTAAAAAATGTTCGAATACATTTTTCCAGTGGTTCTATCGAATGAACCAACGAGGACCGTATAAATAAGCCATAAGTACGAACCTAGACAGTTTAGACCGGCTACATTCGATATCCTTAATTCTCGAGCAAAGCGTTGGCGTTCTTTTTAACGTTCTACTGGATCCCGCCGCGCCGGGCCCAAAGGCGTTCTCGCAGGGCCCGCAACAGCCAGAGACGGTTGCGAGCCCTGTGGTTAAAGGAGCGGGATTGGGTTCGAGAGACCGCTCGAAGGGATGCATTGTCTCCCTGGAGGCTTCCCGCGCCACGATTTCTGCAGTTGTAGTTGTCGTTAAAACAGGCCGCGCGCTCGGGTTTTACGGTCTCCGTTGTCTGGCTGGCAGTAGTAAAAGGAAATGCACCGTTGCACCGCGGCCGTTACGCATGGACCGTCTCGCGCAATGATCCCCCCGTACATATAAAATGTAATTTTGGTTAAACGGCGCAGCGCAGCGCTGTTCGCCGCTCCGTTGCACCGTGGACCGCTCCTCGCCGCTCAGGTTCCCACAATTTTCATGGGAAAACTGCGCGCCCGGCGAGAGACGCGGCTCTGCTTTTTGCCTCGAAATCCCTCGGGACTCCTTTCTTTTTTTTCCTTCGACGTCCGATCCTAATGCTCGCTTCTGTCCTCGCCGCTATACCGGTAATTAACTCCCAATGCTAATTTATAACCTTCGACGTTTAACGCTAAACCTACTGTGGTCGAAGTAAGTTTTTTATTTTCTTCATTTTGCTATTTTGCTATCTTTTTATTTTTTTATTTTTTTATTTTCTTATTTTCTCAGTTTCTTATTTCAGAATTCTACAATGTTTAGAGACGAAAGATATAATAATCGTAACGCCTCTACACGGATTGTCGATTTTCGTTTCCAAGTTGAAGGTCAATTAGGGAGAATTTACTGTACAGTGATGTCTCTCTAATTGACGCTCAGGTTGTCCACAAAAATGGACAATTTCGGAACGGTAGATGCGATTTTTATTCGAGCCTCGCGGTTCGTTTTTATAGTTACGAATCGTCAACAACTATAAAAACGAGAAGTAAAGCACGAATAATCGTGTCTCTTCTTCCCGAATCGTCCATTTTTCTGCAGAATCTGTGCATCAATTAGGGAGACATTACTGTACAGTTATCAATATTACTGTATAGACGCTCAGATTGTCCACAAAAATGGAAAATTTGGAAATCGGAGATACGATTATTCGAGCCTTGAATCTCGTTCTTATAATTCTTGACGATTCGTAACTATAAAAACAAAGCCGCAAAGCTCGAATAATCGTGACTCCTCTTCCCAAATCGTCCATTTTTCTGCAGAATCTATGCGTCAGTTAGGGAAACATTACTGTACAGTTATCAGTATTACTGTACAGACGCTCAGATTGTCCACAAAAATGGAAAATTTGGAAATCGGAGATACGATTATTCGAACCTTGAATCTCGTTCTTAATAATTCTTGACAATTCGTAACTATAAAAACAAAGCCGCAAGGCTCGAACAATCGTATCTCCTCTTCCCGAATCGTCCATTTTTCTGCAGAATCTGTGCATCAGTTAGGGAGACATTACTGTATTCGCGATTGGTACAAACACATCTTTTCCATGAACGGCGCGGACAGATTCGCGCCTCGGCAAGGGTTGCGAGGCGAGGGAAGGTTTGCATAATGTTCGCCGAAGTTCCAAAGAGAAGAAGATCGTTTGGAAACGAGTAGCTCTGAGAAAAGAAGGATCGGGCGAGAGAGAGAGAGAGAGAGAGAGAGAGAGACGTGCGACTGGAACGGAACGGGCTGTGAAACGAAACGGAACGGAACGAAATGAAACGAAACGAAACGAAACGAAGCGGCGGTGTTTCTTGTGCGTGCCGCGGGTTGCACGTCAGCGTCCGCGCGAAGGCTTCGCGGGATCCTACGAAAATTATAGTTAGATACACGAGCTGCTCGTGAATTCAAGCAGATGCCTAAGAAATTGCGTTTCTTTGAACGGGCCTGACTTATTAACGACGGCGGGCCCGGCGTTCTCTCGCGTCCTGCCAGCCGGCAGCGTCTTCTCGGCGCGGCGCGCGCAAGGACGAGAGAGGCCTCTCTTCAAGGTCTTCGACTCCCGCGGAATGCGAAATTATCCTGTGTCAAACATGAGTTACGGCATCGATATCTCCTGCGCTTTCAACGAAACTTCGCCACCCGGCCGATGGGAGAAAATTTCTGCCCCGTTGCTCGCTCCTCCTCGTCATCCCCTAACCTCCGCTGCTCTCGAACGCCTCCTCCCTCGTCCCCCGGGACGCGTTCCGAGAACGCTGTAACATTCCCGAACGCAAGAAATCCTTCTCTCTCTCTCTCTGCCCGGAATTTTCTGCATCGTTCGCGCAAGCATTGTTTCCCCGTAAGAACGATTGGCATACCCGATCCTATAATTATTCCGGCCAAAGAAGCGCTGCCTCGATCCGTGCGAGTAAATTAGCTTCCACGGGAGGATGCGCGCGAGAAGCGAATGATCATCTTCTTGCTTTCAAGGTTATTGGAATTCTCCGGCTGATGAAGTAAATTCCTATCCCGTACCAGCTGTTTCGTACGCGCGGTTTCTATCTTTATTAATGGCTCCGGTACGCGAGTAATACCTATTAACCTATATACCTTTTTTTCCCCGCGCGGGATCTATATTCGCAAAAAGCGGTGTGATAGATGAAACAGGAGGCCCTCTGTTAATTCGAGGAGCAGAGATGGAATAGACGGATCGCGTGGATCGCAGAGAGAAAGAGAGAGAAAGAGAGAGAGAGAAAGAGAGAGAAAGAGAGAGAAAGAGAGAGAAAGAGAGAGAGAAAGAGAGAAAGAGATAGAGAAAGGGGGGGAGAGAGAGAGAGAGTCGTCGATCCAAAAAAAAAAACGAATAGCTCGTTCCGTTGCCGAAGAGCCTAGGATCTCGAGCCGCCGTTTGATTAAGTCTCAATTAAGCAAATTTACCGACAGTTCAACGAACGTTCCGCTATTCTATTCGGCCGAGAATGAAATGTCTTTCAATCTCGCNGAATAGACGGATCGCGTGGATCGCAGAGAGAAAGAGAGAGAGAGAAAGAGAGAGAAAGAGAGAGAAAGAGAGAGAAAGAGAGAGAGAAAGAGAGAAAGAGATAGAGAAAGGGGGGGAGAGAGAGAGAGAGTCGTCGATCCAAAAAAAAAAACGAATAGCTCGTTCCGTTGCCGAAGAGCCTAGGATCTCGAGCCGCCGTTTGATTAAGTCTCAATTAAGCAAATTTACCGACAGTTCAACGAACGTTCCGCTATTCTATTCGGCCGAGAATGAAATGTCTTTCAATCTCGCTAAAAATCGTCGCTCCAACGCGTCCGAGCTCG